CTTATGTAAATATAATATTTTGTGTGAGCAGGGCTGGTACTTTATACACAAATTTTTTTTTCTGTATGTATGTAGGTATTTTTGCAGCTTAATTATTAATATTAGTGATAAGTTTGTAGTTCCCTGGAGTATGAAGCTATGTCAGTCATTGGTTGGCCTTAGAGGTGGAAGGACGTTTGAGTTTGTCAGTGGTGGATATCTTTTTTCAAATCAGGTTTAGTTGAGTACTGTATTATATTCAGTGCTGCCTTATTATTATTCATGGTGTGTAAAGTGCAATCAATTGTTGTGTAGTAAGGTGGTTTATTGTTTATTCATGGTGCCAATAGTAGTTGTTTATTAAGGATCATGTTTATTCTTTATTCTCTTGATTTAATTTATCTTTTGGAACCTACACACTAATTATGGTAAAGTTTTGTTATAAAATTTTGTTTAAATCTTTCGTAATATGTTTAATTCCAAACCTTCACTCATGAACTGTTGGGATAAAGAGAGGGCTGTGATTGAACCCATGACTAAGATGTGCTGAGTTGCCATTTTTTTTTGTGCCCTCATTAGTATATTAATCTGTAACATAATTCAAGTGATAAGTTATGTCAAAACAAAATGGGTTAAAATTAACTGAAATTAAGTTAAAATCAGTTATAATCATCAGGAGTGAAGTTTGCAAATTATTTTTGAGAGGTTTTCTCCACCAGTTGGTAAGTTGCCATACCTGTTTAATATGAAGCCTTTTGATTTAGCTAAGTTCATTGCTGAACCTTCAGTGTTAAGTTTGGAGTGTAGTACCATTCGTAAAGATGATTGTGTTTCGTTGGGTAAACATTATAAAGTAGAGACTAAATCAAACTGGTAAAAGATAAATGTAAAAAATGCCGTAATTAGATGTTTGGTGGAAAAGTCAATTTTGGATGAGTCTGCATTCCAACTGTGTGAGACGGAGGAAGATCCAACAGTAAAGTTAATAGAGTTTCAGTTAGAAAGAGAGAAGCTGGAGTGGGAAATTAAGTTAAGGTTGCAGGAAAAAGAAAAAGAGAACAGAGATAGAGGAAGGTCATTCCAGTTAGAATTGTTGGATAAGAGAGCTACTCTGGAGTTATGTGGTGTCAAATATGATGTAATTAAAGTGATGAAGTCTTTGCCAATATTTAAAGAACATGATCAGGAAGAGTTTTTCATCCAATTTGAGCAGAGTGTCACAACACTTTCCTGGCCTCAGCAGTATTGGCCCTTGCTGATCCAGTGGGTCCTTGTGGGCAAAGGCCATTCCACTTACTTGTCCCTAACCAGCTCTCAGGAAAATGAGTATTCTGTGGTCAAGGAAGCCATTTTGAAATCTTACCATTTGACAGCAGTCCTATAGAGATAAGTTTAGAAATACATTCAAATTGCCAGATCAGTCATATATTGAATATGGTTACAATGTCACTAATTTGCTCAACAGATGGCTATCGGCTAGTGGAGTTAAAACCTATGATGAACTTTGTGAATTGATTGCACTAGAGCAGTGTTTGAGAGGTGTCCCCACAGATGTCCGTATGTACGTTTGTGAGAAGAAGGTTACAACTATTGAGAGAGCTGCCATTTTGGCTGAAAATTTCAGTCTTATTCATAAACATAAGGTTAATGAGGTTCCAGGCCAAGGCATGACTCCAGCTCAAGGTGGTAAGCTCCCATTTGGTAACATAGGTAATAAACCCTCTTTTGAGAATGTTGGCAGAGGTTCTGATGGTCATGGTGGTAATGGATTTAGCTGGGTTATGACTTCTGTGTGTTTTTATTGTAGAAAGCCTGGTCACTATATTGCCTATTGTCCAAAGCTCAAAGCTAAGGAGTCCCATGACATGCCTGTTGCTAATTTTGATTTGTCTCAGCAGATGGTGTTGCTGTGGTTTCTGACCGTGTTTGTGTGGATCCTAAGGATTTGTTCCAGCCCTTTCAGTTTCCTGATTTTGTGTCCGTGTCCGAGGGTAGTCCTGCTGTCCCTGTGAGTGTTTTGAGGGATACTGGTGCTTCACTCAGTATTTTGTTGAATAGTGCTCTTCCATCTGTGGAAGAGGCTTATACTGGTGAGCATGATAATAATAATAATAATAATAATTAACGGTTTATTGAAAAAATTCTGCAGCCCGAAGGCTGAAAATATACATTGGACATAAATGACTTATTACATACATGGGTGGTTTAACAAAAGCCTTCAATAGAGAAAGGTAAAGGAACATACAGTGAACATACAGATTAATGTAGGTGTTGAACAGCAAACTCGTAGTGTAGTAACTCCCTCCCAGATGGTGTTAGGAGGAACTCACGTGGTGTAGTAGTTCCCTCAGATGGTGTTATGAGGGACCTGGCGTGGTGTAGTAATTCCCTCACAGATGGTGTTATGAGGGGCCTGACGTGGTGTAGTAATTCCCTCACAGATGGTGTGATGAGGGACTTGACGTGGTGTAGTAATTCCCTCACATATGGTGTTATGAGGGACATGTGGTGTAGTAATTCCCTCACAGATGGTGTTATATGAGTGAGGTTTGGTCTTAGGCCTTCCTATCGTAGACGGATTAACACATCGCTGGTTGTTGTTGGGTCTCAAGGGCCGTTATCACTGGGTACCTGGGACCTCCCTGTGTGAAGGTTAATTTGGGTACGACTGTTACTGTTGAGTTGTTCTCACTGACTTAAGCACTGTTCACCATTGTTCACCTCTGTTTAACACTGGTTCCATTGTGTTGTGTTAGTGGAGGGAGTAACGTTCCTCTTGGGAAATGATATAGCTGGTAGCCTTGTTGTTCCGGATCCTGCTGTAGACCTTGTGAGTAAGTGTGGCGGGTTATTCCCTTCTGGTGCTGTAACCCGTAGTCAAGCTAAAATGGTGACATATGGGACAGATGTGAGTGATCAGTGTGATGTTTTGCCTGATTATGATTTGAATGGACTGTTTGATGTTAAGCCAGAACAGTTAGATGCAGGTTTAGTTGATCAACCTGTTAGTGATGTGTCAAGCATGCATGGGGAGATTACGTTAACTAGTTAAGTTAATTAAAAAAAATTTCCAGTTAAGTTAAATTAACCTGATTTTTTAACATTAACTAGTGAAACTAATTTTCATTCTTTCCAGTTAAGTTAACCTGATATTTTTGATGATTTACTAATTATGATTTTTCGATTACCGGGGTAATAGAAGTTAACCAGTCTGTGTCAAATTTGCTTAGGGGAATTTTCATGTGGATTGTATAACTTAATATCCTGTAAATGTTTTCCAGAAGAGTCAATGAATACTGTAGTTTTAATACCTGAATAGCCAAACTGAGTCAGGCAGTCTGTTGTACTGTACAGGAAAGTCAACAGTATGGATACTCACTGGGAGCAAGGGCTGGTATGTTATATATATATTTTTTTCTAAGGAGTTTACTGGTAATTAAATTTTGATTAAGTTAAGTTAAACTATTATTTCAAAAGTTAACAAGTTAATCTAAGTTAATTTAACTTAACCGTTAACTTGTAGAAGTTAACAATTAAGTTAATTAATTGTCCCATACCCGGTGTCAAGTAATTTAAATACAGATTCTAAGGATCGCGTGAATGTTGATTTCAGTAGCCTTCCTGTCACAAGAGAGATGTTGATTTCTGCTCAAAAGTCTGACCAGTCGTTGGTTCCATTATTTGCTAGGGCCGTATCAGAACCAGAGAGCCATTATGAATCTAGTACTTCCTCAGGCATAGCAGATTTTTGCCGTACATGTCATGTATGCCAGTTAGCTGGTAAGCCCAATCAAGTATTGTCACCTGCACCTTTAAAACCTACACCTGTTATTAATGAACCATTTGCAAAAGTAATCATTGATTGTGTGGGTCCTCTTCCTAAAACAAAATGTGGTAATGAATATTTGTTACCGGTGATGTGTGCTTCCACTAGATATCCAGAAGTTATACCTGTGCGGCACTTGCTTTATATTACATTATATCTTGGCTTATATTATATCTATTGTATGTTACTGGATGTACTTCACAGTCTAGTTTGGGATTCTCACCAAATGAACTAATATTTGGCTGGGATATCCGTGGTAACTTGAAACTATTGCATGAGAATTGGGTAGAAGAAGATGAAACTGCAGAAGTATCAGGATCCCTTTGAAGTTTTGAGTAAGGTAGGAGATGTTAACTATGCCATAGCCACGCCTGAACGTATGAAGACTAAAAGACTAGTTAGACCTGATAAGGTGGTGTTCAATACTGTGACATGTGATGGAGTGGAGGAGGATGAGTTACCGAAGCATGACTTTTGGGAGTTGAAGGCCGATATCAAACTGAACAATTCTGATGTGCGAAGTGATCCTTCTTCTAAATTGTGCCGTCTACTACAGGACCAGAGGAGCGATGTAATGTGTCTCCAACAGGAATTCAAGCCCATCTTTGGTGATGTGCCACAGCATAGCCCAGTGATGACCCATGGTGTTGTGTTGGTGGGCGACGTAGCCCCAGTGAAACAAGTACCCTACCGCGTGTCTTTCCAGAAAATCAGCTTTCTGAATGACGAGATACAGTTCTTGATTGACAATAATTTGGCTGAACCTAGTGACAGTGAGTGGGCATCCCCTTGTGTTCAGGTACCCTTGTCAGAGCGGGCGAGACACATATCGGCATTTGTTATCCCTTATGGCTTGTATCAGTATAGCGTTAAGCCATTTGGGATGTAACACCCCCTCCAACTTTCCAACATTTGATGTCAGTTGTCATTAATGGTTTAGATGGTGTCAGAGCATGTCTTGACAACGTAGTTGTGTTCTCTTCCACAAGGAGTTAACATATTGAGTCACTTTGTTGTCTGTTCAGTCGTCTTAACCCTTTAACAGTGGGAGGTTACCCTAAGCTAAATAAAATCGTCTGGCGGTAGCCAGAATAAAATGGCAATGATAATAATAATAATAATAATTAACGGTTTATTGAAAGAGCATGGCAGCTGGAAGGCTGAAATTATACAGTTACATAATTGGGGAATGGGTCTCTTGATTTACAAATAATATGCAAGTAACATAAGTGATACAAATATGATATATAATAACTACGTGGGTAGAAGCTCAAATTACAGGGCATTTCAACAGAGTGACAGTGCAACAAGTAAGATTGACTGCGAGTGAACACACTGGTTGATTACAAGTTATTGATAATTTTTACAATGGTTATAGACGCGTTGAAAGGGTTAATAGTGCTCGGCTCACTGTTAACCTTGTTAGGAGTGAGTTTGGCCATGCCAAACTAGTGTTTTTGGGACATGAGATTGGCTATGGGACAGTGGCCCCAGTCCAGGCTAAAGTTGAGGCCATTGATACCTTGTCCATACCCACAAACCGTAAGGCAGTCCAACACTTTTTGGGTATGGCAGGGTATTATAGGAGAGTTTGCCCTAACTTTTCTGATGTAGCTGGACCATTACCTGATTTATTTAGTCCTAAAAGGGATTTTGTGTGGACGTAAAGTTGTCCGGAGGCATTTGAGAAAATTAAGGCAATTTTGAAGTCTAAACCAGTTTTATGGGGACCAAACTTTGACAAGCAATTTGTTGTACAAGTAAATGCGAGTGACGTAGCAGCTGGGGCAGTTTTATTGCAAGAGGGTAATAATGATGTTTTGCAGTACAGTATCTTACATGTCAACTAAATTTAAGCCTCATCAAAAAAATTACTCTACCACTGTATAGGATCCACTTGATAACACTGTCGAAGACTCACTAGAAGGGATACTTCAATATTTGATTTTAACTTCATTTACAAGAATAAGATTTTAACAATACTGTAGATGCTGTATCGTGACATATCTCGGCTAAATTTTCCGACACATAGTACCTGGCACACCGTGAGGCTCATTGACCTGAATAAAAACCAATACTGTAGTCTTTTCAGAACTATTGTAAATTAGCATATTGATGAGTGTGTTTTTGTGAGTTCATTACTGAGTGTGATTTAAATATTATTTCTTGTGAGTCATGTGCAAAATTTTCTTTTAAAATTCTTGATCGTCAGTTAAAAGACCAGAAGTATAGGGTTACTGTACCGAAACGTCCCTCTGTATAGGCCAATTTCCCATCAAGTTTGACCTCCTCCTCCTGGGCCATGAAGTCCCCCATCTCACCCCTGGGCCAGTGTCCCTCCATGCAGACGGTGAGGGTGTGAGGTGCATCAGGCAGAATAGTCACAGGTTCTTCAAAGGTCACCAAGAGGCCCTCAGAAGTGGCACTCTTTATTACATTACCCCCGCCGTCCTTCACACTAACCGTAGCACTTCCTGAGCTTGGGTTAATGGCCTTACATTCCACTTTCCCTAATTGGATGGTGCCTACTGTTTTCATGTTCATGATAAGGATCTGCTCGTGAGAACTGTGCACAAAAATACTACCTCTTGCACTTTTTTTTGATCTTGGAAAATTGTGTAACGTATTGAGGGTAATTTTTCTGAGAAGACTGTCGTGGAAGCACAGCCTTTTCTCCCGGATGTGGCAGCAGATGGCAGGTAAGGGCACATCCCTCACCTCCTTGATGTTCATGAGGATGGCACTGGACTCCTCCAGGGTGAGGACGTTGGCAGGCATTACGTGCTCCACAAATTCATCGGTGGTCATGGCTAGAAAACGCACCATAGGTAGGAAATCCTCTATCTCCTGCCGAAGGTTTCCCGACGACGTCTGCGCCCGGCCCCTGCACAGGAAGGATTGAAATAGAAGTTCATACTATAAAAAAAATCAAGACATTACTTTTATAAAATGTGGTCTTAATTATCACTATTATTTCTGTTGTTGCATCTTAATGACACATTAACTGAACCAAACACTGACCTTTTGCAATTTTTTAACCACTTATACACGGGATCCCCTCTGCGCTGAATAAAATCCTCTGGCATTAGCCAATTAGAATATTAGAATTGGAGCCCCCGTAGTGGAGGGGTTAGTGGAAATTGTCTATTAACATTTATGGACATTATTGGAATATCTATCCGGCAAAAGCTATGCAAAATCTAACTTGGTAAACGCCCTTCTTTCATCATTTACAGTCATTTTTTTTAGTAAACCAATATTAACGAAATTAAAACCGCCCTTTGTTTCAACCAATCAGGTGTCAGCGGGGATGGAGGAGGAGGGAAGCGCGCAAGAGGCGGCTAGATTTGAATCAGTTTTCGAAATGACTTCTCTGTGTATGGGTGATTCCCGACAGAAATGAAGCTCAAATTCGTTCGAATCACACAAAAAATATACCGGAAAAACACATTGCCGAAATGAAAAGCGGTGCCGGATACATCTTCGAAATTTACCACCCGTTTATGTACAGAATCCCTTCTGTGGTGAATAAAACCTTAATTGAGTTATCCAAATGAAATCCCCCAAAGTGGCATCCCTGCAGTGAAGGAGCTAAAATTCATCAATCTTCCTTTCTGCTTAAATATACTACAGTAAAACCTCAATTAACCGACCCTCGATTAACCGACTTTCGGATTAACCGTCAATCCCGAACCCCTAATTTTTTTTTTTTTTTACGGGGATTAGCCCACCCGGGCACAGGTCACTGACCCACATCGAGGCCTGGGGGGCGATAATGTGATAATGTTAATAATGATAATAATAATAAAGAACCATAAAGAAATGCAAAAATGAAAAAAAAATCAAGAGTGAGAAACAATGTACTTGTATGTATGTTGTGTTGTCAATAGTAAGAGAAACAATTGAGACCCTGCAATTGTGTGTAAATGAGGCAGAAAGTCAGATCAGCAACCTGGGACTTGGTCACAATTTTTGTTACGACATATGTTCTTTGACTTTTCCATTTTTTATTCACAGTTTCTGTGCTGGTTCATATTTATTTACAAAAGTGGTTATTGTTTTTAAGCAAATTCTATTGAAATATGAATGGCAAATGAACAAAAATGAATAGAGGGACTTAAATGAGGTAGGTTAGGGAAAGGTACTTTGAAAATGTATGTTATATTTCCCTAGACTTCATGTACTACAGTATTACCCCGCCTAACGCCGTTTCACTTAGCGCGTTTTACCGTATACGCGGTGCCTCGCCAGAGCTGAACTTTCACTTAACACGGATTTTTTCCACATATACGCGGTGAGTGTCCGGCTCGAGACGCTATTTTTAGATTTGCCCCACGCGCCACCCGCCCGCCTGCCTGCCTGCCTGTGCTCCTCGCCTCTCCCTCCTCCTCCCTCCGCTTGGGCAAGCCGCGCGGTAAGGTTGCGCAGTGTGTGTCTTTGTTGCGTTATCACTGACGTCATATGACGTATCGGACTGTGATTGGCCATGCATCCCTACCCCACTCTGCTGCTAGCTGTAATTGGCTTAAAGTATTATGACGTGACCACCCGGGGGAGGGAGGGAGGGAGGGAGGAAAGACGACGCTTGACCTAGCCGCGGCAGTTTCATCCCTCAAGGCCACACCGTGTAAACGCGCATCCATTGTTCCGTAAAATGGCTTCCGCCGGACCACCACCGCCACCGCCACCAGAGAGAGACCTTTCCTTACCTGGACCCAGAGGCACTAAGCCAAAGAAGACACGACGTTCCTTAAGCTACGAGGTGAAGTACCAAATTATTCAAGATTTGGAGAAAGGAACACGGCAAGTTGATCTCGCGCGCCAGCATGGCGTCAACGAATCTACGATTCGCACGATCAAGAAGGATGCAGCCAAGATCAAAGAGCACATGAAAATCACAAAGTCTGCAGGTGCTTCATCTATCAGGTATTGCCAGAACAGGGTGCTGGCAAAAGTGGAAAATTTGCTGGTGAATTATTTGATTCGTCAGGCGCGACGCAACATGGCGGTGGACACGCGCTCAGTGCAGGAGTACGCACGTGAGCTATACGCAGCAGTGTCACGTAAGCTGGGAATTGCAGAGCCCAAACCCTTCAATGCTTCCTCTGGTTGGCTGCATAGGTTTAAGAAGAGGAACAAGATCACCAACATCAACATTGGTGGTGAGGAAGCGAGTGCTGACCGTGTGGCGGCTAGAGATTTTCCTCCGTTCTTACGTGAGATTATGGAGGAAGGACAGTACACTGACGACCAGGTGTTTAACATGGACGAATCTGGTCTTTTCTGGAAAAAGTTACCTTCCAAGACCTTCGTTGTCCAGTCTGCCAGCAAGGTAAGGGGTCGGAAGTTGCAGAAGGAACGCATCACCGTCCTGTTTACCACCAATGCCTCCGGTACCTGTAAACCAAAGTTATCGGTGATTCACACAGCCCGCAAGCCGCACGCCTACAAGAATATGGACATGAACAAGCTTAATGTCCACTGGCTAACCGCACGTAAGGCGTGGATGTCCTCTTCTCTGTCCCTCTTCTGGTTTGACAACTGTTTTGTTCCTGACGTGAAGAAATTCTGCGAGCAACAGAATGTTTCATTCAATATTTTGTTGCTCCTTGACAATGCACCTGGACACTCGCCCCTACTTATGGATCGTCACCCCAACATAAAAGTGGTCTTCCTTCCTCCCAACACTACGTCATTAATCCAGCCCATGGACCAGGAGTTGATTTGCAATGTGAAAGCTGCGTACTCTGCAAAGAAGTTCAAGCTCCTGAACGACTCTACCAACACCAAGGATGAGTTGCGTAAGCTGGGTGACACCGACAGCGAGAGCAAAAGCGACGAGGACAAGGAACAAGAGGCGGCGACTCAAGAACTTCTCGTCAAACAATTTTGGAAGAAGTTTAACGTTAAACAAGCTGTAGACTTCTTGGTGGAGGCATGGGATCTGCTGACTATTGCTACGATTCGTCACGCATGGAGACATGTGTTGCATGGCATACCAGGTGAGAGGAGGAGTGAACCTGTGACTGGTCAGGTTCAGACTGTTGCAGTAGCAGTGGACCTTGCCAGAGAAGCTGCGCTCAATATTACAGCTGAAGGCTTCTCCGAGACCACCAACGAAGACATCCTGGAGGTGATCAGAGATCCTGAAGTGACTGCCGACGAGATGTTGGAAGAAGAACACGCCAGTGAAGAGGAGGAAGAAGGTGCGTCATTCTCCGAAGAACCTAGTTTAAGTCATAGTGATATTAAGTGTGCCATAGAGTTTGCAGAGAAAATTAAGTCCGTCCTTTCCCGCGACAATGACCGCTATGAAGTCTTCCATACCCGGCTGGTGCAGGCTATGGAGCTGTACATCACGGTGTATCATGACAACATCAACGCCAACCCTCAGCAAAGCATAACCGAGTTCTTCGCCCGCAACCCACCACAGCCAGCCCAAGCCAGTGATAGTGAAAGTGAAGTTGACTTTGAGGGATTTGTCAGGAAAGCCCTGACAACTGTAAGTGACAGTGATGGTGATTCACCTAGTAATGGTGATTCACCTGAGGGCCAGTAATCTGCCCTCTGCCTCGGAACCAGCCTCCATCCCCGTATGCTGACCCATCTCTTCTACTACCGTAAGTGTTACACAAAATTTTTAGTTTTTTAACCTATTCTTTATTTTTCCTATGTTAACCTTTATCTTTCCTAACCTAACCTCTTCTATATTACTTGTTTTTTCATACCATCATAAAGTTAAGATAGAATTTTTACTACAACATAGTTATGTGTCGTCAAAAAGTGGAGTTTGGGGGGTCGGGCTGGGTTCTATTGGAATTAATCCCATATGTTCTGTTGTTCACTTAACCGCGGGACCCTCTGGGTTTTATTGACCGCGTTAAGTGGGGTACAACTGTATTATCCGACCTTTTCGATTATCCGTCGGCCCCTTCCCCAGTCGGTTAATCGAGGTTTTACTGTATAACCAATTGCATTGTAGATTTTGATATTTAAAACAGTGTTGATAGGAAAGATCAGGGAGTGTGATGCTTCTTAACAGTTACCTTGTAGTGGATTCCTCCCCTACAAGCACCGAACCTTCTCGAATTCCCCAGCCTGCGCCACCCACGGAGCGGGGGTGGACTATCTACCACGCCACCCCCGCCTTATAAGGCCTGACACCGCTGTGACCAGCTCTCTTTTCTACCCAGTGCCACCAGCAAGCAACACCTCCTCCGCGCCAGCTCATCTGGGCACTCCCCACCCAGCTCTCTCTACTCAACACTTATTACCATGTTACCTACCCAGCAACAAGCTGCATTGTACATCTAATACAACATGTATACAGTGAGCACATTGTGAGTTTCCTTTCTCCATCCCATCCTGAGTATGAACCAATATCTCATACCCCCACAGGCAAAATAGTCACAGGTTCTTCAAAGGTCACCAAGAGGCCCTCAGACGTGGCACTCTCTATTACATTGCCTCCGCCGTCCTTCACACTAACCATAGCACTTCCTGAGCTTGGGTTAATGGCCTTACATTCCACTTTCCCTAACTGGATGGTTCCATAGACTTTATGTACTGTACTATTAACTGACCTTTTCGATTATCCATCGGCCCCTTCCCCCTTGTGGTCGGTTAATCGAGGTTTTACTGTATAACCAATTGCAATGTAGATTTTGATATTTAAAACAGTGTTGATAGGAAGATCAGGGAGTGTGATGCTTCTTAACAGTTACCTCACATAACATTTATAAAAGGATTTTACCATTGAAGATGCTCAGTTCATGTTTAAACATAAGTGAACTTATTTAATGAGAATAACTTCAAAAATAGCCCAGCGTAACGCCAATGTAACCTTTCATATAGAAAACATGTAAATGAAATAAATGGAAGAAA